AGCATGAGGGATATGTCTAAATAGTTTGTCACTTCTCCATCTTTAGATCTGGAATAAGCAGGTAGAACCTGCTAGTATCTGTGCTTTCATGTGGGCCACTTCTCCATCTTTAGATCTGGAATAAACAGGTAGAACCTGCTAGTATCTGCGCTTTCATGTGGGTTAAGGGTTAATTTGCTCCTGTGTTTCTCAATCCTTGTTTCTTCCTCATGAAAAATCATGATTGAGTGATAAAACAGTCTCACTTGTGCTGGCTCTGAGAAGGTAGAGGGTTACTTGGAATGCCACCGAGGCTGTTCTGTGCGGTGCCCTGGTGTGTCTGCAAGAGGGGATGAGAGTCTGTTGCAATACACTGGCTTTATTGCTCTACAAGCAGCTTCTAAGCAGCTTTAGTAGCTGGTGTTACTATGTTACTAAAGCTCTTGGTAAGGGAATTTCCAGGCTTCGTGGGAAAACAGGCTGCCCAGATCTCTGACCCGGGATGGGAATGGTTCTACCATTTGCTGCCTTTTTCTGCTGTTTGAGTGAGTGCAGGAGGGCATTGAACCTTACTTGTTTTCAGGTACACAGAGTACAAGGCCACTGTCACCTACTGAGATTGCCTCTTTTGCACTGGACATACAGCAAGGACTTTCCAGCTTTCTCATTTTTGTCAAGGGACATGATATCGAATCCCCATCCATCCCAGATTCCTATGTACAGTCTTCTAGACTTCTGTGGAGGTGCTCTGAGGGAGTCCAGACTGGACTATCTGGCGGTGATGGGTATGCAGGGTCTTTGCACAGGATTCATAGTGGCATTGAAAGCCTCCAAGCCATTAATGGGCTTTTGGGAGCAGTGAGAATGACTGCAAAGTGTCAGATACTGCTGGCCACCTCTGAAGCTGTTACTGCTCGGATCTTCATTCCCTAGCCTGCTGCACAAAAGTAACTTTCACGGGCTGGCAGGTCAGACCTGCAGGATCTCAGATCCCACTCCTTCCAGGGGATCCTGCTTTCATGAAACTCCAGTGGGAAGGCTTTGAAGGCGGCTGACTCCTCTTGGAGGTCGATGGTGTAACATGGTTTCTACACTGCAGGGGTGCATGTAACTCCAGGGGAAGTTCTCTTGCAGAGATTAGAGGGAGCTGCACAGCATCTGTTTCACCTGTATTCTGTCATCAATCGGTTGTGCAGAGGCCGATGGGAAGGGAAGGAAAAGTCCATATTTTAAACACAAGTCAATGAGCATCCCTATCAGAGAATAATCTGCACACAGAGCCATTACAGCAATTTGGCATTACAAACAGGCATTACAAAAATCCCATGGCACTTTTCCAACAGCTTTTCTGTAATGTAAATGACATAAACAGAGTAAATAAGGAAATGTGATGATAGAAAAAACTCTCAAACATCTCCAGATGAAGTACTTCTGAAATAGTTTTTATATATAACTAAGCAGTTACCAGCAATTACTTCTATGTCAGTTAATGATAGTTGTGGGAAGGAAAAAGTCTTGCCTGAAAAAGGCTTCAGATAAACTGCATCAGGTAGTTTGTGTCCAAACCCACTAACAATAAGTCAGAACTGTTTGTTAGCATGTTTTTAAAACAAGTGGTGTTTATTATGTGAAACAGGTGTGAGCTGCTGCAGCATGTTTGTGGGCTTAAATGCTATTGTATGGCTGGCAGAATTCTCATTTGTTATTAACTATCATCAGTCGTTTCAAGCCTCTGTTCTTCAGTACTTGCTGCTTCCTTGCTATAGGTTCTTCAGGCTGTGTTTCTCATTATTAACCAGCAATAAAAGGGCTTGGCTTCCGAGTCAGGACTGGTTTATACTGATAAAATAGTGTTGCCATTTGACGGCTGTTATTGGGGTGCCAGGCCAGCTTGTCTCTCCTAGTACAGGACTGCTTTTTACCCAAGGGCTCTTGACACTGCCTGGGCTTTCCTGTTCCTGTTGGCGAGACAGTTGCAGCAGCAAGGAGTGTGGGGGAAATCCTGTTTTCTCTCTAATATGATAGAAGTCATAAAGTTAATTTGCTGCAGAGTACTTCTACTTGCTGTCAGTAGCCAGTCCTGTTTAACAGGTTAAGACAATATTAGACTTGTATCATTTTGGATTTTTAAAGCACCTGGGAAAGGCCCATATGAACAACAGGACTATTATTAAACTAGCTTTCCCAGCCTCTGGATGTTGCAGCTTCCATTGACAACGCGGCTGTTAATGTGTAGGTAATAACTAGTAGCTTGTGTGATCATTAACTGTGGTCAGTGCACTGCACACATTGCAAAAGTGGTAGAAGGACAAAACTGCCATCTCTCAGCCTGTGTTATGAGCACAGAGTGGGCAGGTGAAGGATGGTTGACTAATACAGTCATGACACATTAAAATTTCTTGGGATAAAGGGACAGTATGTTCTGCAAATGCTCCAACCTGTTCTTCTGTCTCACTGCAAGTTTACTAAATGCTTCTGCCCTCTTATGCCATGGATCTATGTGTGAGGGAGGGGTAAGGGCACCAGAAGTTGTCCCTCCAGGGTCTGCTACTGACTGAGCTGCCCTGGGAAATGCTCACAGTGCTGCTTTTTGTTCAGCTGCTTTTGCAAAGCTGTCGTAGTGTGCATCCAGTTAACACTTGTATGTATTGAGAATTTAGCAGGTTTCATAGCTAGGTCTTCTGAGGTGGTAGAAACTTTCAAGTATTTTCCTGTTTGTCCCTTAACACTGTTTGAAGGTGAGAATTTTCTTCACACTTTTATAAGTAGTTTTCTAGTTGTTAGAGATAGCATTGCCTATTTCCACCTTAATGAAAGAACACCACACTGTTTGAAGGTGAGAATTTTCTTCCCATTTTTATAAGTAGTTTTCTAGTTGTTAAAGATAGCATTGCCTATTTCCACCTTCATGAAAGAACCCTCTTCTATAAAGTAATTTCTTTTGCAGCAAGATTGAGCCCAGCTTACTATAGTCTTGATAAAACAGGTTTGGTACCTGTGCAGAAAATACCCTTACCCATGCAAAGTATGAACTAGTGTTCAGCCATTGGCCTCTCCAGAGCTGCTGCAGTAGGGCACAATTTAGCCTTAAATGTAAGGCAGCTGAGTTGGTTGCCTGGGTGGTAATCTGTCAGCTGAAGTCTTTCTGAATATTTGCATTACTTTTGTAAGATAGAAATTACTTTTAGAGTGTAATCTCTGACATTGGAGATAAATCAATTAAAAATGAGTTTGGATACTGCTGTAGAGATTTATGCTAAAGTGACAAATGTGTTTGCAAACGGGTTTCTGTAATCAGTGCAGCAGATGGGTTTTGATTACCACCTGGGCAGTGCAGAGGTGTGTCACCTTCCCCTCTGAAGTAAGTGAAAGATGACATTAGCCAAGTTGACTGAGGGATTTTTCCCAAGAAAGGCAAGACTCGTGTGTCACTTCCTATTGCTCTGAATATTACCTTTTTATTGTACTGTTTGCAACTGGTTTCATAATCTATTTACGGAACAATAGGTGGTGTGTGTCAAGGCAGATCCAGATCTCTCTTAAAACAGAATTTTAAAGCAGAACTAGAGCCTGACAGCCTGTTGTTGGTGTGGGTCACAAGAATTTTCCTGCACAAGCAGTGCTGTGGGACCAAGTGTAGTAAAGCAGCCGCAGAGGATGTTTGTGCGGCTGTGCCCTGCTCCTGGTCAGTGTCAGCTCTGAAGTCCTGTCTGAGTTTCAGGTTGAACCAAAGAGCCCATTGTTGTAGCACTCAGATGGGTTCAGCATACCAGTGCTGACTTGAGTGTGCAGGTGTGCCGTGTTGTAGGCTTAAATCTTGCCCAAGCCTGAAGTGTTTTGCAGAGCTCTAGTAGGATGCAGTTCAAGGATGCTTTCTGAGGAGTGAGCCAGATTCAGGACCTGATTCTGGTGCTGCTTTGCTAAAACCATAGCTGTGTCACTGCTAGATAACCTTCTGTGTCAGGGGACACTTGTGCCTTGGTTACAGTACGTTCCTGAGAGCTTGTTCCTCTGATTAACCAGCCCAGTTTGTTCCCAGATTTTACAGGGCTGTATATTAAAATCCATACTGTTCAAACAAACCTGATTAGCCAGGCAATAAAACTCAGGCACTCATTTCAATGTTAGTCAGGTGTTTCATCACCTGAGGTTTTTCAGCAATAACCGAGTTTATATAATTGTTTTCTCCTTTGCTATCAAGAAAATATGAGTTCAGTAGCTCACATATATAGGGTTAGTGTTTATGCCTTCACATGATTCCATATAAACCCAGATCTTGGCCAAGTACATCAAGTCTGTCTGCTGAGAACCCAGGCAAATTCTACTCTTGCCCATGGAAGGCATCACCTCATGCTTCAACTCCTCATAAGCACAAGAGATTCTTAAAACTTTTTAATATCATTGAGTCAATTAAGCTAATTATTTTAGGTTGAAAAGAAAACAACCTATTTTTCACCTGGTTGGGAAAACCCTGGTTTGTTGCAATTATATTTCTGAACTCTCTGGGATGTAAACTGAGAATTTAGCACTAAAAATTAAATCGGTACTGAGTTATTTGTATAAAAAACAGCTTTTGGTAGTGTGGAGCAGGAAAGGGGCCTTGCTGTCTGCTGTGGGACTATTCATATGTATGGAACTATTCATATTAAAACACAGTGCTTAAGTGCTTTGTCAAGGTAGAGCCTAAATCTGAATACTTCTTTTGATAAACAGATATGTCCTTCCAATTGGGATTCAAATGATCAAGGAACAAAAGATGTCTGAGGGCAATTCCCAGGTCATTTCCTGCAAAAAGGCTGCATGTCCTTGTTTTACATGCATTTTAGAAGAGGCTGAGAGTCCTCTGATCCTGATGCTTGACAGTCTTCAGCTTAAAGCTAAAAAGGAATGTCTTGCTTGGTTGTATCCTGTGTAACAGGGAGCAGGAGTATTTTGACAGATGATTACTTAGCCCAGTAATTTGAATTTCTATTTGTATCTTGAGTTTTCTTTGTGGTAACTCAAATCCTAATGTCTTCCAGGCAGTCTGCAGGCCACGAGGGCTTTGATGGTGGCTTCAATACTCCTGGGGCTTGTCGGTGTGTTTGTTGCTGTGACTGGCATGAAATGCATGAAGTGCATGGAAGATGACCAGGTGAAGAAGATGCGGATGGCTGTCTTTGGTGGGGTGATCTTCATCATTTCAGGTTGGTAACATACATATGTTTAGCTTGAAATGTGCTGCTTCCTAGATGGCATTTGTTCTCTAGAGGATGTGGGAGGGCTTGCTGTGTTGCTCTGAGAGCATTTTGGGCTGGGAATTCCTTGGTGGACTTTGGCATAGTAGCTCTGGCTATAAGGCATCAAATGGGTCTCTTGACTCTGGCATTACACTCTATATAAACTGTATGACTTGCATATCTGTTAGCAGAGCTGCTTTTGGCCCTGCTTCAGTGAAAGTCCTGCTTTTGGTGCAGTGTATTTGTGGGTGACCTCAAACAAAGACTTTCTTAACTTCTCTTCCAGCCAAAACTAACTGGAACAGCTCAGAACTTCCCAGGGTAGCAGTAGCTCAGCATTACTCCAGATGCTACACACTTACTTTTGCAGTGATTTTGTTGATTGATTTTTCTTAAGCCATGACATTGTGTTCCCTTCACATGCAGGTCTGGCAGCACTGGTGGCCACATCCTGGTATGGCAACAGAGTGGCTCGGGCCTTTTATGACCCTTTCACCCCTGTCAACACCAGGTACTGACCCCTTTGATATAACAAACCATAGTTTAGTATGACAAGTGCTCACAGGACTTAGTTTTGAGCAGCAGTAGCTCAAAACAGATAAGGGAATTTTCTGAGCTAGCTGGGCTGGCTTCAAACTGTGCAGAAAGTTGGGACCAGATCTCATTATCCATGTGGCTCTTAAGTCTTGGCTTTGTGTTAAGACAGCACCACTGCCAGAGACCTAACTGATGGGACTTCTGCAGTTTTCATTCCCTATATGCTTAAGGCCTGGGCTTGGCCCTGCTGCAGTAGTGCAGGGTGACCTGAAATACTGGACTAACCCAGTGTGCAAAACTCTGGGCTTTTTGAGGGTCAGCAATGTCTCAGACATCTCCAAACTGCTGCTTTGCAATAAGCCACATCCATCCCAATTTCAGTTTCCTCCTCCTTTGTGTGGCCATGTTACTACAAGTAATACCTCTGGTTTAGTGTTACTTACTTTCTCCTTTCTTTCTCCCACAGATTTGAGTTTGGGTCAGCTCTCTTCATTGGCTGGGCAGCTGCATCTCTGGCCATACTGGGGGGATCCTTCCTCTGCTGTTCCTGTCCACGGAGAGAAACTTCATATCCACCCACCCGGGGCTACCCAAAAAATGCCTCCTCCACAGGGAAGGATTATGTATAATGAAACAAAGAAGAAGAGCCAACAGCATCAGTAGTGAAAGCATTTTGGAGAGGACACTACAATGCCACTGTCCTGAGCAGAGTCCAGGCTCTAGGTTCTGCCTTCCTCTTCTCCCAAAAATGTGTATATTTTTGTAATCCTCTTTGCTACTGGACATAACTTCTCCTTTCTCTCCCAGCCCATGGAGGAAGGCTAGCCTAGGTTCATAGGTATTGCCACTGGAAAGATGAAACCTCCAAGCTTGGGTTAAATTTAGTATTTGGGAGTAAAAGGGAAAATGATACTGTTTTTATAGATGGATGTTGGTGCTTTTTTAGTTGTTTTTTTTAAGGAAAACAAATAGATGGTAACAATTCAGTCCCATATCCCATTAAGTTAGAGCCCAGTGTGGTGTGTGTAGAAATCAAAGGATCATATATTATATACAAAATGATGAAACCAATAGCTTATGGGGAAACATAATTTTGGGGAAAAGACTTTACATGTAGGAATGTTTGAAGAGATGTAAAATGCTCTTGTACTGTCTTATTGGCATCATCTTCAGCACCTTCCTTTCTGTGCAGGCACAATTAAATTGCTGTGATTTAAACAGAAATCCATAACTGTCCATGCATGTGGTGTTGGCCAACAGAAGATGCAGTGTAAGGTAGTGACTGCAGAAGTTATCAGACTCCCAAAGCAGCTGCAGGTTTCCCTGGTACCAGGGAAGAGCTCAAGAAAAACGATTGCCTTCTGTTTTCACTGTGTCACTGGTGGGGCTGTGGCTGTTCTTTAGTCACCAAGTGCTGCCAGTGATTGTTTCTCCATGTTCCCACCCTGGTATCTGAGCTTGAAGCTTTATCCCCTTGTGTGTT